ATTTCGCCTAGCGTCCAAAACAGGCCTTTTTTTTCCTCTGCGTTTTTCACGCAAGCAGAGTGAAATGCGGCGCGAACACGAGGGGCGAGCGCAATGAGAGGGGCGTCCCTCGTGTAACCCTTGCGTTCACCTTCACGCGCCTGAAAGACGCCTGTCTAGTAAATAAAATCTTTTCCGGGCTTGAGTACACCCAACACTCTAAATAAACAGGTTTGGGAAAGGGAAGGGGTTTATCCAAGCAACTAGATCTTGACAGCGACCCGATTCCTACCTACCATTGACAAGGCCAGTTGCAGCTGCTTGTGCATTATCACGCTCACCAATCTCTGCAGGAATTGAACCACTCAAATACGGATCAACGCCACAATTGCAGGCTCCGGCCAGGAACATGAATAACGCGTTCACCATGAGGCCCCAGTCTCCCGTGTATTGGAAAAGAGCCATGAAAACTGTGCTTCCCAACAGAGCCAGAGTCACACCATATACAGCTCTACCCTGAAGTAACCTGAAACAGAGTCAGTGATATTAATCTCTTTGAAACAAAAAAAGGGAGCCGACGGAAAAAAGATTCAATTTTGCTTTTTTTTCAGACGGGGGCCGGGGAGGCAAGGGGAGAAGCAAGGGGGGGGGGGGGGGGGGGGGGGGGGGGGAAGGAAGGGAGAGGCGAGGGCCGGAGGTAGGAGGAGGTAAGAGGATGAGACCAGTGGGGAGGGCAAGGGAGATGAATGCAAGTAGTGCGTCAACGAAAAAGATTAGCTCTTGTTCTAGACTACGAGTATAGTCCTTGTCGTCGAAGCCTGTTGCGCGACTTCAAAAGAAAAGTCAGCAAAAAAACAAAATTGATGTTAACGCGCCGCACGGAATTTCAGAGAGCGCACGAAAAGTGCCTAACTTTTTATTCGCTGTTTTTTTTTTCTTTTTGCTCGTCCGACGGACCTCGCAGAAAAAATAAAGATTACCCGTGGTCCATGTTTGTCCTATAAGCTACATTGCGGTATGCACACAGGGCTAGTGATCCTAAGGTTAGAAATTTACTAATCAATTTGACTTGGCGTTGCAAATTCCGACTACCGTAACCGGTATGAAATTTGATTTGTTCAAAGTCTCAGTCCTTCACACAGAATCAGTGATACAAGAATGCAAAAATGGGAAATAGAGAAGGAATGATAAAATGTATTGTTGTTTTACGACTTTTATAACTTTTAATGGCGAAAAGGAAAATGCTTGTTTAGATGCGGATGGTACGTTCGTTCGTTGGTCAGACTTTCATAACATTTGGTGGCTCCTAAAGGAGCCGTTTGTTTTGGCGGGAAACCCACAGAGTGAGTTTACTTGCTGCTAGTGTACTTGGTCACAGCCTTTGTTCCTTCACTGACGGCGTGTTTCGCCAGTTCGCCTGGCAGAAGCAACCTGATGGCTGTCTGGATCTCACGAGAGCTGATGGTCGATTTCTTGTTGTAGTGGGCAAGGCGGGAAGCTTCGGTAG